AAGGGACCCATGAAGTCTATCCCCCACACGTCAAACACCTCTACTTCTTGAATTGGTTTCATTGGCATCTCATGGCGACGGGAAATGTTTCCCGTCCTTTGGAATTCATTGCAGCTCTTTACCCAGAGGTGTGCATCTCTAAATACAGTTGGCCAGAAGAATCCGGCCTCCAGCACCTTCGCAGCTGCTCTGACCCCTCCAAAATGTCCTCCATATGCTGAAGCGTGATAAGCCTGCAAAATTGAAGATTGTTCTATCTCGGGGACACACCTCTGGATAATGTTATCAACGCAAATTCTAAACAGATGAGGTTCATCCCAATAATACATGCGACTATCACGGAAAAACTTTTTCTTTTGGACAGAAGAAAGGTCATCAGGAACAATACCACAAGCCAGGTAGTTTGCAAAATCTGCATACCATGGCACATCCTCAAGACTGGCTGCGAGCAGCTGCTCGTCTTGAAAGGTTTCCAGAATTTCTTCGACATCGACTGATTTTTCAGCTCCTTTAAGTCGTGAAAGATGATCAGCGACTTGATTTTATGTGCCCTTACGGTCACGGATTTCGAGGTTGAATTCTTGCAACAACAGCACCCAACGAATCAGGCGCGGCTTAGACTCCTTTTTCTCAATGAGGTACCTGAGAGTTGCATGGTCAGTATATACAATTACCTTGGAACCAATCAGATATGATCAGAACTTGTCAAAAGCAAACACGACTGCCAACATCTCCTTCTTCGTCACTGTGTAATTGAGTTGTACACCGCTTAGAGTTCTGCTTGCATAGTAAATCGGGTGCATCAGCTTGTCTTTTCTCTGCCCCAAGGCTGCTCCTATAGCATAGTCACTGGCATCACACATCAGTTCAAATGGTTGCTCCCAGTCGGGCGCGACAATGATGGGTGCAGTGGTCAACTTCTTCTTTAGTTCCTCAAATGCCAACCTGCAATCATTAGAAAACACAAAGGGGTAATCCTTTTCGAGGAGTTTGCATAATGGGTTAGCAATTTTGGAAAAGTCTTTTATGAAACGCCGGTAGAACCCGGCGTGACCAAGGAAACTTCTCATCGCCTTTACTGAAGCGGGCGGTGGTAACTTCTCAATCACGCCAACCTTAGCATGGTCGACCTCAATACCTTTTCTGGACACTCGATGTCCCAAGACTATCCCCTCTCGTACCATGAAATGGCACTTCTCCCAGTTTAGTACCAGGTTTGTCTCCACACATCTTTTGAGCACTCTGCTTAAGTTGTGAAGACAGTCTTCAAATGAATCTCCCACCACGGAGAAATCATCCATAAAGACCTCCATAATGTCCTCCACCATATCTGTAAAGATGGCTAACATACACCGTTGAAAAGTCGCAGGTGCATTATAAAGCCCAAAGGGCATTCTCCGAAAGGCAAAGATGCCATACGGACAGGTGAAGGATGTTTTCTCTCTATCTTCGGGGGCTATTGAAATCTAATTGTACCCTGAATATCCATCTAGGATACAAAAGTGTGATCTACCAGCCAGCCTGTCCAACGTTTGATCAATGAAGGGTAAGGGAAAGTGGTCCTTGCGGGTGGCAGTGTTTAATTTCCGGTAATCCATGCAGATTCGCCACCCTGTGACTGTACGAGTTGAGATCAACTCATTGTTGTGGTTTTTCACAACAGTCATACCCCCCTTTTTCGGGACACACTGGACAGGGCTGACCCAATTACTATCCGAGATGGGGAAAATAATTCCCGCATCTAACCATTTGATCACCTCTTTCTTTACAACTTCTTTCATGTTAGGTTTCAGCCTTCGCTGGTGTTCCCTGGAAGGTTTGTGCCCTTCTTCCAGGAGAATCTTATGCATGCAGAAAGCTGGGCTGATACCCTTTATTCTTGCCGTGGTCCAACCAATGGCCGTCTTGTTATCCTTTAGTACCTGCAAAAGCTGCTCTACCTGCACATCTAGCAGACAGGATGATATAATAACAGGTAAAGTCGAATCAGTGCCTAGAAATGCATTCCTGAGATGATCTGGGAGTGGTTTTAGCTCCAACTTGGGTGGTTCCTCTATTGATGGCTTGGCTGGAGGAGTGACCCTTTTCTCCAGCTCGAGGGACTCGAACTGAGGTTCCCTTAACCAAAATCCTCAGCCTTCCAATGCCATTACCCATTAAGCTAACCCCTCGCCATCCATTTCGTCTAAGTTTGTCAAGCATGCCTCCAATGGGTCCCCCACAGTCAGGGCCCTATCATCCTCTTGCAGAATTACATCAACTGCTTCCACTAGAGAGCAATTTGCATATTCGCTGGGTCTCCTCATTGATTGTTGAACGTTGAATATGACTTCTTCATCATTCAATCTCATTTTAAGCTCCCCAGTTTCACAATCTATCAGTGCTCTCCCGGTGGCTAAAAATGGTCTCCCCAAAATAAGGGGTATCTCCTCATCCACCTGACAGTCCAGAATCACAAAGTCTGCAGGGAACACGAACTTCCCCACTTGCACCAGCACATCGTCAAGAATACCTGTAGGTCTTTTCACNAAAATATCTACATGGACTACTTCCCTCAAGAGTACTGTCCAAGTGGTCCGTCCTCAGGAAGAGTCCTTTACCCCTTAACAACCGACTTTGACCCTCAAGAGACCCGTCGACAAGTGTCCGTCGTTGGGCCAAGTCAGTTATAAAATTACAACATGTTTAATATGTACAATACAACACATCACAACAACAAGTCTCCCACCCCACACTTATAATCATGGCATGTCCCCATGTCATACAAAAATAAAGAGCAGTAGGGTAAGAAGACTTCCCTGAGTATCACTCAGAGTCGGAGACCGTGCTGGGGTCCACATGACAAGCTCGTCCGAATGCACGGAACCACGCCATCATACGGTTCTCAGACCTAGCATGGCGCTGAGACATAGCATCCATCCTCACATGCAGGCCATCCACCGAGGTACGAAGGTCCTCGAGCTCCTCCTCCACTGAACGTAGCATAGGCCGGGTGGATTGTGATCTAGAGAGTCCGGCTCCAGTGTGGGGACGCCGGGAAGATCCAGCTCCGTCATATGACCTCCTGGAGGGTGCCATTGGTGCTTAGGCTTCCTCCTCATCATCAATATCTATGGTCGCGGGCGCATCTCTGCCCACGTTGATCCTAGAAGTTCTGAAGGGTATCCTTGCGGGCAATGTGGCATCAGTAGGCAGAGTGGGAACGCCCTTGAGCAGACACAATCTAGTCACCAATGAGGGAAAATAAAACCCCTTTGACTGCAGCGAGGATCGGAAATCATTTCATCACCAATGAGGCTCGCCACATCAAAGTCACGCTTTGTGACAAAGCACCATACCAGTAGAGCCCTTAGGTGGTTGACATCGGTAGAGTTGCTTGTGGGCAGGAAGCGGCTGCAAATGATATTGAACCAGCACTTGGCCTCGAGAGTGAAGGACTTGGAGTGGAGGGTGATGCTTTCCTGTATCCATGTTGGTTGGCCATTCTGGAAGATTGCTTCAATCAAGGTATCCCAATTAACCCCATGAGCGCCGTGGTAATGGTCAACATCACCTCTGAATTGGGGCAACTGCAAAACCTGCCGAATCTTAGGAATGGAAGCATCCACCACCTTGCCACGCACAATTACCTCCCGGCTAAAATGCTCCGGGCAATTTGCATAGAATTCCCGAACTAGCATTGGATTCACTGTTTCGTGCTCCTCAAATAAAAATTCCATCTCCCTCCGTCGTATCTCTTCATACATGCGGAGGGCAGCCCTATCCACAGCAATCTCCGGGACGAAGGTCTTTGTGGCTTTCGCATGGAATGCATCCTCAGCCCCCGGAGACTGGAACTTAGTTTCATCATATGTGGGCTGCTGGGAAGTACTAGCCGAACCTGTGTGCCTCTTTCGTGCCATAATACCTGCAACAAGACAGGGCAACTATCAAATACATCCTAAACTAGGCCATGCGAATGGTTACTCAGACTTCGCCACCCGCTGGCACTAAACAGTTATCATTGGCCAACAATGCCAAAACACCCTATTGCTAAATGGCCCGAATTAGCCCACACATACTACGATTACTTCACACCCCCATCAACATGGCAACCTCACCTACTATACCACACCCAACCTTGCATTAGTGAAATATGGCAACCACCAGCACCACAACCAATTACAATGAGCACAAAGTGCTCCAAAAATTACAACACATCCCAAATTTTCGGCCATATAGGCCCAACCACCACACTTTGCCCTAAAAATGATAGTTAGGTCTCAAAAAACACTACAAATCCCTCCCCACAAGTTAATCATCATGAAACCCAACATCTAAGCATCCACCATGGCTAAAATAATCAATGAAAAAGAGAAAACAAAGAAAAAAAATACAATTTATATATTACAACAAAATCTAGGGTTAAGAAACTAATTTACACTAACTAGTTGAAGAAAATAAAAGAGGAAAGAAGAAAGCTTACCTTGTAGATGAGATGAGAGAGTTGAAGAAGAAGAAATTTGGGAAAGAATGGGGGTTAGGGCTTGGGGAGGAAGAAGAAGAGAGGGAAAAAGATGAGGTAATAGAGAGAAAAGGGGGTGAGGGTCGTGTGGTTGGAGTGGGGAATAAGGGGTTGGGTGTTTGGATAAGGGTAATTAAAAGGGGGGGGAGGGGAAGAAATTAGAAGAAATAAAAAAAAAAAATTTCAGTTACTTACCTGACTGGGCCCGTCGCTGGGCTACCGCGGTCCTACCGCGGTCACGCTTGGACCGCGGTGGGAAAACTTTAGAGAGCCTTTTTCACCGCGGTCTCACCGCGGTCACGCTTGGACCGCGGTGGGAAAACTTCAGAGAGCCTTTTCCACCGCGGTCTCACCGCGGTCACGCTTGGACCGCGGTGGAGGCATTTTTCTGGTACTTTATTTATTTATTTATTTTTTATTTTATTTTGTTTAAATATATACAGTTATACATTACACTTACAACAATTTGTGGGTTGCCTCCCACGCAGCGCCTGATTTAACGTCGCGGCACGGCGCAAATAGTGGAGTTCCTACTCCTCGTTTTCGTATTGGGGTTCTTTGAAATGTGACACCACTGTATCCCCTTTTCGTCAGCTGATCCAAGGTAGTGTTTCAACCTTTGTCCATTGACGGAGAATTTGTTCGTTCCGTCTTTTGATTCAATCTCCACAGTTCCACTAGCAAACATTTGCACCACTCGGAATGGCCCTGACCATCGGGATTTCAAGTTACCCGGAAACAATCTCAATCTTGAGTTGTACAATAACACCATCTCACCGGGTTTGAAGTCTCTGTCCACGATGTGCTTATCATGCATTTTCTTCATCCGTTCCTTGTAAAGCCTCGTGCTCTCAAAGGCTTGATACCGAAATTCCTCTAACTCGTGCAGCTCCGTTAGTCGATTTTGTCCGGCTGCTTCGGGATCCATGTTTAATTGTTTTAATGCCCACCAAGCACAGTGTTCTAACTCCACAGGTAGATGACAGNAGACTATGCGGGCGTTGCAAATATAATCCGAGTATTATTGCCCAGAGTCGAACCACAGGGAACTAACCTATCAATCACTACTGTCAGATTTACTAAATTCACACAATCTGTTTTCCCAAACTTTTCGATTCACAATGGTTGATTTTCTAACAACTAAGATTGAAAGTAATTAACAGCTGAAAATTAACTAAACTTGATGTGTAAACAGTAGAAATAAAGTCTAAGGCAATGGTTTCCCCGGTTGGTACTTTCCTTGGTTGTATATGTCCTATAACTATGATTTAGCTATCTCTAACAATCATGAACTCTCCATCTATCATAATTCTTTCTCAAGTAATTATAATAATCTACTAGACGCACTTTCTCAAGCTACCTAGATAATTGCGCAATACGGTTCACTTAGATTGCACCCGGGGTTTCGTTATCTCTAATGCAACCCCTAAACCCTCGGTTATGACTCTCGTCTATACTCCGGGAGTGATGTTGTTCATACAATCACCTAAATATACACTCTCTCTCAAGAAGATACATAATAAACAAGAACGGATAATTGAGGGCCCTTTCAACTATTCCACAATCAAAACATAGATGAACAATTAGAGATTAACAATCAAATCTAATTATATTGATAACACAACCAAGTTATTCCCAACGGGTTCCACCAAAACCTTAGATTAAGGTTTTTAGCTACTCATGACAATGGGTAAATCAAATACTAAAAGATTCATAATCATAAATTGCAAGAAAATAAAGAAGAATAGAAATAATGATGTTTTGGGTGATCTCTCACACTTGTTTTTCTTGCCAAAGTACTCTCTAATAATGTTACATGCCTCCTTTGGGCGGGTTCTAGTGTTCAAATAGGGTTTTGGGCTAAGAATTCCGGAATCTGCACTTCAGTCCCTTAAGTTTCCGTCGCCTGCCGCGGTCCTACCGCGCCCACGCTGGGACCGCGGCCAAATGGCCTCTCTGAATTTCCTCTGACAGCTCACCGCGGTCCTACCGCGCCCACGCTGGGACCGCGGCAGTTCACCTACAGGCCTCGTTTGTGTGTTTCAAATGGTTCACTCGGCGACTTTGATGCGATTGGCTTCTTTTTCTTCCATAAATAATACAAAACCACTCCATAGCCTTCTTCTAATGTATGTAACCTGAAAAATATGAAAAGCACTAATAAGAGCATTTTGCTATCACTTTTACAATAAAAACTCTACAAGAAAGTGATTCTTTTGGGGCTTAATCATAGTTCAATTCACCTATTATCAATCATCACAACAACACAACATAATCAACTCGTATCACAAGTGCCCATAGACCACAACATTTCCAAAGATTCAACGATGTCAATAATTTCACAACAGATAGCGCATGACTCAACACAACGAGTATAGAATCTCAATAACAACAACACGAACGGAAAAGTAACTCAGCAAGGAACCACACCTCTTTTAATTACCACTTCAAGTAAAATAGATTTATGCCTCTCGATAACTTCAATTCCAATTAATTGTTTAAGGATACACTCATTAGTGAAAATATCTCCATGAGATGGCAATTCAACGAACAAAGAAAATCACGTAATGGTAAAAGTTGTAACAACTCCAAATAAAGCATATAAGATCAAGTTCGACAAGTAAAGAATGTGACATGTAACGACAACTTCAAATAAGGCAGGTAATCGTAAACATGATGAATAAAGGATATAACATGTGCTAACAATTCCAATAAATACATAAAGGATGCCCAAGAGTTTAAACCGATATAATTTCCATATATAAGCCCGAGTACGTACTCGTCACCTCGCGTAAACGACTTTCACATTACACAAATAGCACAAACGACTCAAATCCTAAAGGGGTTGTTCCCCAACACAAAAGTTAGGCAAGATACTTACCTCAACGAAGCTAGACCGATACTCTAAAATGACCTTCTCGAGTGAAACAACCTCCGATCGGCCCAAATCTAGCCAAAATAACTTCATAACATAAATAAAACTCATAGGAGATATTCCGGATAATAAAGCTTCGGTTTTTAATTAAAACTAAAAAGTCAACCCTGGGCCGCACCTCGGAACTCGATAAAAATTCATAAAATCCGAACACCCATTCCAATACGAGTCCAACCATACTAAAATTATCAAATTCTAATATCGAATCTCCCTTCAAATCCTCATTTTACATTTTGAAAGATTTTACAAATTATTCCATTTTCTTCCATTTAATTTACTAATTTAATGATATAAATAAGTATGGAATCATGAAATATAACCAATTTCGGATAAAAAATACTTACCCAAATCAAAATCGTGAAGAATCCCTCCAGAATCGCCCAAAACCGAGGTCTACAACTCCAAAAATGATAAAATCCTCAAACAACCGAAATATATGCTTCTGCCTAGCCATGTTCGCACCTGCGACACATTAGCCGCTTCTGCGGTTTCGCTTTTGTGACCAAAATTCCGCTTTCGCGGAGAAGCACTGGAGGCCCGCCCTTCGCACCTGCGGAAAAAGTTTCTCTTCTGTACAAACGTAGGTGCGACTAAAATCTCGCTTCTGAGCTGCCTTTCGGTTTTGCGATCGGAGATTCCGCTTCTGCGGACGCGCAGATGCGCCCAGCATTCCGCTTCTGCAGGCTTCCCCTATCCAGTCCAATTTCGCTTCTGCGACCAATGTGCCGCATCTGCGACCAATCCTCCGCAGATGAGGACACACCAGAACTTTGCCAAACCAGCCTTAACCAAAATGATCCAAAACGATCCGAACCTCGTCCGAAACTCATCCGAGCCACTCGAGACCCCGTCCAAATATACCAATAAGTCCCATAACATAACACGGACCTACTCGAGGCCCAATATCGCATAAAACAACGTCAAACTACGAATCGCACCTCGAATCAGTTGAATTTTCAAATCTTCCAACTTCCAAAACTCGTGCCGAAACATATCAAATCAACCCGACATGAGCCTAAGTTTTTCACACAAGTCTCAAATGACATAAAGAAGCTATTCTAATTCCCCGAACCAAAATCTGAACCCGATATCATCAAATTCAACTCTGGTCAAACTTATGAACATTTCAAACCTTCAAATTTCCAACTTTCGCTAATGTGCCGAAACCTTTTAGGAATATCAAAATGCAAATCCGAGCATACGCCCAAATCCAAAATCACCATTCGGATCTAACGGAACCATCAAAACTCCGTTCCGGGATCAAATACACAAAAATCAAACTTGGTCAATTCTTCCAACTTAAAGCTTCAATCATGAAATTCATTCTTCCAACTAATTCCGAATCATTCAAAAATCAAACTCGACCACACACACAAGTCATAACGCATAATACGAAGCTACTCGAGACCTTAAGCCACCGAGCGAGACGCTATTTCTCAAAATGACCGGCCGGGTCGTTACGTCAACTCCACATGTTTCAACCATGTAGGAGTCAGCATTTTTGGCACAAAAAATCAGCTCGAAAATACTACTACTACCATTCAAAATAGCTGCGAAACAGTTACCATAGCTCAATGACCAGCCACCAACGAAACTCACCTTGAAGTCGATAAATGTCACCGTCCTAGAACATCCAAAAGCAGTCTCATACCTAATTCAAGCGAAGTTACTCAGTCGAACTTTTGTCCAGTGGTTTTGTTTGTATTCTCGTTTGGCTCGTCGTTCTCTTCTTTGCACCACTTGACTCTTTAATATATTACAAGTTGTTGCTTGACTAAAGATTAAATCTGATTCATTCTTTCTTTAATGGACAGATCTTTTTTCATTGATGCTGAGTTATTTGTTTGAATTTCTGTTACATTTTGTTCTCAAATGGATCACTCGTGCATGAAAATACTTAATTAGTTTTTTTGCCTACTTTTTTTTTAATGAATTTGTACTTGCCTGCTTTGATGAAGATTAGGTTGCTTATTTATTGTTTACCCTAAAATTCGAGTAACAATTAAACTTGTATTGTGATTTTAAGGATATGTGATTTAATTCAATGCCAATTGATAAACAAGGACATAAATAGATAAATTAAAGAATAAAATAGATCAAGCTAGTGCGTAAGCTAAATCTCGACCTCGAGCTGTGACAATCTCGAAATATGATAACGGGAAGAACAAATGATAAAACAACTCTGATAAACAGTGAGTAAAATAGCAAGAGAATAGCAAGCGTATAATTTCTTATCAATGAGCAGTGATCAATGTCTTACAAATGGATGGGATCCCCCCTTTATATAATAGGGGAGTCCTAAATAAGGTACACTTCCAATTATAGTAGGAAATCATATTTGATAATTGTTTAACCGCTGAAGACCAATCCATTCCAAAATTTACGCCGTGATCTCCGGCCCATTGCGGGTATCTCGCTCTTTCCGTTATTGACTCATACCGGCATCACCTCGAAGCATGCCTTCTTCTGACCTCGGTAAGCGTTATCGACCATGACCTTGGAAAGGAACTTCGACCCCGAGCTCGACGTCCTGGTTTTTCGACGTGGTATCACTTTTTCCATCGAAGACCGAAATCGGGTGGCCCCGATTTCCACCGTATACAGATAGTCCCCTTGTTTCTTAGAATAAAATAATAAGAAACGACTTGAGCCTCGATGTTCCGGAGACCCCGATAACGATGTCATCCCCGTGACGTAAGCGTTCGAGGTGATCGAAAGGTCATGTCGGTTCGGTTCCCCAAAACATTGCTAGTGACGGTCGGCCACTAGCGCCACCGAACCGTCACCGTGAACCTATAAATACATGTTTCCCGTTTGAATCAAAACTTTACTTTCATCTTCACCAATTTCTCTAAGTTTCTTCCTCTCTCTATCTCTTCTCTTCCACCACCTGTTGATTCGATCTTTTAGGACCAGAAAATACCAAACTCTACCACTTTCCGCTTCATCTCATCTGAATCAATGGCGAAAACCTCCAAAATCGTCCCTCAAAA